CTTTAACTGGTTAATAAAAGGTTAAATTTAGTTCAAGCTGGAACCATAAATTTGTAATTCTTAACCGATTCTAAGGATTACAGATACCTCTATATGTTTACAAACGCAATGTTTGTATCTAAAGCTAATTATAATAATCGCTTTAGCTTTCTTCATCCAATACCAGTTTACTGCCTAGCATAAAAGTAAAAACTAAAATTTGCCAAATTACGTGTTGCTTAAGATTGATCTTGCCTAAAGGTTTAGGCAAAACTCTTAGTTTAGAAGGTACTATCAAACCTCACTTTTCTCACCAATTTTAAATAAAAGTTCTGGGTAATACCTTTGGGTGTTAAAGCATTTTCTGGCTCCAAGATGATCAATTAAACTTTTTTCTCAAATTATATTATTACAATTGATTTATCAAAGAAAATTGAGTTGAAACCTTTTTATGCACTAAAATTTTACTATTAAGATGTTGCAATGTGTTAAAGTCTATTTGTATGAAATGGCAAAGTATAACTAATGATACATTATTAAAATGATAAGAATTTGATGAAAAGGTTAAATTTTGTATAGGTTAGATCAGCATTTAAACCAAAGTAGCAATTATAACTTCACAAATTGAAGAAATAAGTACATCAAAATAATTTGGCTAGCAGCATCTATTGTATAATTTTTATAAATTATTTTGATTTTCATTGGTATAAACAATTTGAAATACAAATAGTTGTGGAACTTCAATCTCTTGATTCATATAAAATATCAATTTCTTAATTTTTTTTAAAAAAATAGATAAATAAATTTACATTTCAAAAATTATAGTACATTTAAAATTCGATACAATGATCCTCTTTAGTTTATTATAAAAATTTTTAAAAATGCATAAAATCATTTTTATCAATATTTATAAGCTTAAATATAATAATTTTTATATTTTAATATTTAATATAGAATAAAAATTCTTTTGTTATACAATTGAAAGCACGCTTACAATTTCATAGAAGTGAACCTAAACTAAAAATATTAAAAATGGAACCATTTTCCGAAGGAATGTTTATTATTTTAATTTATAATGAATCAACCTTCCAATATTTCCCTACTCAAAGAAAATATACTTGTAAATTTGAAGTGTGGCAAAGGATATGAACAAATTTGGTATTTTGTTTGGAAATAAAATTTGGGGCAGCAAAAAACATAAGACAGGAACATGCGCATATGTGTTAATGCAAAATGCACAAAAAACATATGATGTTACCTTTTGTTGGAAAGAGCGCGTGTATATAAAGATAAAGAATTTGATATTCTATTGCGGTTTAGTTCAATGTGTTGTGAGATTAATATTGATGTAAAAGATTTTGTGGAAGGTAATGTAAAGCTTGTTTATATATTTTAATTTTATTGGGTTTTAATATTAATTTATTATATAAAAGAAAACCACGAATTGATAAATCGTGTAAATTATTACCTTGCATTTTTATATGAAGTAAAATTTATAGATTTTATAGAATTATATAGAAACTAAAAAATAAAAACATTATAACTTCGCTAAATTTTTTTTTAATTTTTTTACTATACATATACACTAGAAGAACTATTACTATTATGCTTTAATTTTTATTGATTTTCAATTATATTTGATTGGAATATTATGTATTTGATAATACTATTGTCAATTTTCATGATAAAAAATATCATGAATTACGGTTTTTTTTGATTTCCTCTATCTATTGTTGTTCCTCCGAAAAATAATCGCATAAAGCATTTATATGAATTATTTTAAATTTATTATTGATAATTTAATAAATTCTATCTGTTTAAAACACACCAGTGGTTCATTAAAATCGAATTTTAAGGGTTTAGACGATAATGGACTGAATAAAAAATTGAGAACGCGTTCAATTGCCTAGCATCAAAATGTATTTAATTTTATTTGAAAGTTCTAATCAGAAACAGCAAAAACTTTTGTTGGTTTAAAGATCGAAAAATTTATATTTACCACTATCGCTATGATTGATGGTTTTCTTTGTAACGGTCACAAAAGATTTCAATATGGAGAGTCTCACATATTTATCTCGAATGCTTAGTGATAAACAAATGTACAAGACTGTTGAACAACTTAAGAATAAAATATATGTATCATCAATGTTTCCGAGTACTCCAATGCGCGGCCTCGTTTATTCAAAAATAAATTCACGCTCTTGAAGGTCTAAGCTCTTTCTATTGTAGTATAGTATAATCAAATTGAATCAATCAATAAATATAAATTAAAAATTATGAATAAAAATATAATAGTAAATTATTTATTTCACTTTAGAACTAGTTTATTTGGTATCTGACTTCCTGGTTATCTCGAGTCTATTTGTTAGTCCATTGGGCGGTGTATTTTTTCGGTGTGGGTATATCCTTTTCCACAATAAGTTCGTTAGCTTTACATTCAACGTAACAATAATAATGAAAATGTTAATGACAATAACTTAGCTGCAATTATTTGTAACGGGGGAAATCCTGTTGACCAGTTGCCCATATGTAAACGGAAAGAAGCCACACTGATTAGACTGATTAACCAAATACGGTCAATAGTATAACTTAAAACTATGTAACATAAATTCATCTTTTTAATAAATACCATTGAGAATCAAGAGAATCAAAATTACTTCTTTTACTTTGCTTATTAATTTTTGTCGAAGTATTTGCTGTATTACGTCATTACAAGCCACAAAATGTTTATGCAAGAGTCTGTGTCACGATGTATTAAGAAAAGTATACCCTCAACAGCTCTCGTTTCTCAAAACCTCTTTCTCTAAAACTAAAATAATCTATTTATCATTACAGAAATATAATCGAAATGGTAGAATCATACAACATTTTACGTCTAATAATAATTACGTTTTTCAGGTTGAAGCTTACAAAAATGAAAACGACAATGACAATGACAATAAGAAATTCTTCAAAATTAATGATGAGAGAATTCCGTTCGAGGAATTTAAAGTTGGACAACTCGAGAGTCTTATCTCTCGTAGAGGAATGTTTGCTCTGATATACTAAATCTTTGGCAAGTTGACATCGATGAAAGTGCTCTTAATCCTAAATCTAATGAAGCAGATATTGAAACCTTGGAGGCGTACTTATGAAATGTCAACGCAAGCTTATAAAATATTTTCAATATGGATATGAACCTACGGAAGAAGATAACATCAGCATTGTTGCCATCAACGCAACCACCACCACTGGTAAGTGTCTCCCAATGGTTTACCTCTCGAACAAGAAAATCGCGTTATCTCACATATATTATCCCTTATTAGATTTAGGAAAAAAAAAGAGGATGCGGGGACTCAGATTAGGAGAATGAAGCCCGAGTTAAAAAGGGAAAACTGACACAATACGAACTACAAGGTTTTTTTCTTTAACGTTGGCTTTGCCTTTATTAGAAACAAAAAACATCCTAACTTATGTATATCTTTTAATTGCAGGCAAGATTGAAAGTCTTATTGATAGCTTAGATATGATTGATACAAGTAAAAAAAATTCGAGGTGCCACTATTGCCAGGCGATAATGAATTCACAACTATATATAATCGACAGTGTTGTTCATATCTCCACAAATTTATATTCGGGAATGAAAGCTTCAAGAAATATTTTATAACTGGAAACCCCGGAATCGGAAAGACATATTTTGGAAAATTATTGCTAGTTATGCTCCTTAAGCAAGGAAAGACGGTCCTGTGGATCATAAAGATTTAACATTATACATAAATCCTATTGAAAAAATGTATTTTAAATTGAATGTTGACGAATACAAACTACTCGCACAAGTTTCAAATACGTGGTGTATAATCGACAGGAGAGAACCCCAAATCAGTCACGATTATAATGGCGGAAAGTTTATTATGGTATCTTCTCCCCAAAAAGAAACAATTAAAAGTTTTGTTAAAGCACAGAAGTGTATAAAAATGTATATGCCGACTTGGGAAAAAGATGAGATATTAGAATGTTTCGACTTTCTTGATGCAGATAAAAACATTGTGATGGAAGGAAAAAGTTGTGCGGCGGAATAGCACAGTGGATCTTTGATAGCACTTTGTCACTAGAAAGAATCAAATCGATTCTTGAGAATGCAATTAATTCAGATAACATAGATATATTTTACCATCAAGGTCAATCCCTTTTAAGTCACGAATACACTCACATACATATCCATATACAAACCAACACGAACAGATAGATAAATTTTTACCATACACTACGTCAACCTGCTTTTTTGCATCAAAACATGTGGCAGATAAATGCTTAGTAAAGTTACAACTAGACCATAAAAAGGAACTATTCGATTTTATCATTATCAATAAAGCACAGGACATAACACAATTGGGAGGTTTACGTGGAACGTTGTTTGAAATGATCGCGCATACGAGAATTCGCCAAGGAGGAAAATTTCAAGTACGTGAACTAACAAAAGAAGGTAATGGATCGGAATACACTCGTAATTTTAAGTTTCTAGAAGAAAAATTTTTTGATGATGTTAATGAGATACAGGTAGAAAATTATTTTCGACAAACATCAAAGGTTTTCGAAACCATAGATAGTTATTCTCATTCAAATAAGTTATTTCAAGTCACTATTTAAAAAGCATAGTATGGAGCAAGAAGGGTTAAGAGCGATTTATCCAATCTTAGAAGAAGGAGAAGTCCGTATTTACTTTGTATTGCCAAAGAATATATTTGCAAATTTCAAAAAAAAACAGAATTATGAAAATAAGGGGGAGGGAAATGTATTCGTCCAGTATGCATTGTGCGTAAATCTCGAGTATTGATGATTTCAGCTACAAATTTAAACTATCTTCTTCATCATTAGAGTAACTATATATAGTGATAATAAACATACCGTTATAAATTGCTTGAACGAAAATTTCATATTTGTAGATTTTTGTTATAACATAGTCCTAAATTTCTTCCCAATACTCCTACACCTAATGCTAATTTTTTCGCTATCTATTTTCTGTAATGTTCGAAATAAATTATCCAAATTCCATTTCTATATCTATGTTACAATTATGATTAGTAGATGTAATTTTCGGATCTATCGCAAAAATTTCTAAGTAAATACTACCGATCCACTCTTTATACTGTATTTCATTTTATAAGATTCCATTCCGTCTCACATTCAAGAAATTTATTGTGAAGAAATATGACGTGTCACGAAAATCTGATCTGATCATGCACCATAATTTACAATAGAAAATTCATATAAAAACTTAATGCACGAAAACTCAGGAAAGTTCGAGAATAAATTGCAATTACTTGTTCTCGTGATACATGATGTCGTTATTATTGGGGAAAATTAACCATATGTACGTTGTCACGATCAAAAATCACGTGAGGTTTCGGGTCAAATTTCGAAACTAAGCTTCGCTGAACACAACTTTTATTGCAATTTTTTCTTGACAGCAGATTTGATCTTCATGTTATCTCAAATAATTGCGCAGCTTTAATTAATTAGAATTTGAATGATTGGCATTAATTAATTTAATGAGCGCCTATGTTGATGCAATACTGATTAATTTGATATTATTAAATAAATTTAGCATCAACATTACTTCATTTTTACTCAATAAAAACTTCTGCTTATATTTAAAATTGTTTATAAATACATATCATAAATTTGGATCGTTTAGAAGAACGAAAGAATAGTAGCAGAGTAAACATGTTGGTAAATTGATGAAAGGAATTGCATCATTAATAGATTCAGTCAATAGTAAAAAACAAAAAACGTTATTTTGATGATTGGTAGATCTTCCAGTTTAAAACCAAATTACAGCTGTGAACTATTATACAGAAAACATAAAGCTTCTACATCAAGAACAACAGGAATAAATAAAAAATGTTGTCTACATTATCCATGAATTTTTATTCAGCTTCAAAAATGTTATTAAATAACATATTGAGGATGATTCTTTTATAATAAAGATACTGTTGGTCATTATCTCCCTCAATTTTGAACAATTCTACGAATACTTCTAGAATTCGTGCAAGTATCCTGAAAAGCAACGTAACTTCAATACTAGCGTCAGCAACAATTAATGCCACTTTCAACAAACACCATATCAAATAATGTTAATTGAAAATTTTTTAATCACTTACTAAATGACATAACAATTCTGATACATTTTCATCAAAAAATTACGATTATTGAATCTTTAAACTTCTTACATATCCCATCAAATCGACATCATCATCATCTTTTTCTTCTTCATCTTCACATACAAATAAATCTACTGCTCAGATTGAAACTTTAAAAACACCAAATTCTCACAATGTATTATTACAAAGATGATGAATTTATACGTGGCTTCTTTTAAAATTAACACACTGTAGAACGATTAAATCGTAGTTTATATTGTCGATCAATTGAAAATGTCCGACAAATTGACATAATATATAATAGTGTCATATTGGTTACAAACTTTTGAAAAAATGAGTTAGTGATATGATGTAATATAAAAAGTAGTTACCTTTTCCTTTACAAACGATTTATTTAAAAGCAATTTCTTCTACAAACGATTCAAAATGGATTATTTATTCTTCGCAAAAGAATACAAAAAAATATTTCCACAAGCCTCTCCTGACGATGTTACTAAGGCTTACGAAGCTAGTCAAAAATGTGTCAAATTAGGTAAGCTTTGCTGCGTAATCCTTGTTGTTAATATCAAGTTAACATTATGGCTTAGCATAGAAATAATCTTCTTCTTGTAGAAAATAAAGAAAATAAGGGGACATCTGACGATCTATATATATTTGTTGATAACTCAAATTTCTTTATCCAGGCATATAATTCCATTTGACGACTTGAGAACTCTAAACTTTTTCTTGATTATGGAAGGCTGTTTGAGGTCATTAAAGGTGGGCGTTCACTAGGTCAACCTCCAATTCTCATTGGTTCCAGACCACCACCGCTTGATACGTTGTGGAATCGCATTTATAAAGATGGGTATATGGTAGTCATTCTTGATCGGAATATTACAAATCGTGAGAAAGGTGTTGATAACGTTGTTGGGCTCTATATTGATGAGGTGATCTTCACCAAGACTCCTGCTACAATTGCGCTTGTCTCGGGTGATAGTCATTTTTATTGGATATTAAGGTAGCCCTGGAACGAAACTGGAATTTAGAAATATGGTCCTGGAGAAGAGGTATTAAATTAATGTTGGTTCTATGCATAGTTTTATTTCAAATTAAATACGTACCCTTTATATTATTACTAGGCGTATCATTTAATGACAATAATCATTTTCCAGGAGTGTCTCACAATGTATTGCCACCAAATCTTAATACTACTTTTATACCTATTGATAATCTTTACAAGATTTTTACATGGTGTTATGAAAAAGATAAGACTGGAGAAATGAGAGTCCTTAGGATTACTGACGAAGATGCAATCCGTAACTGGAGCAACGATGACGTAATGGAGTGCTTTGTTAATTTAAATTTATTTGGTTGGTGGCATCGTGAATACCCGGGGTCCTTGCTTTTATATTTTCGAAATGAGTATGATAAGCGAAGTGCACAGGCATGGTTGAATAAGAATCACTCTGAAATTTGGATTGGGGAAGTAGTAACCAGAAGACGAAATAGAAGATAGAATGAATTTAAGATAGCATTATTAGTGTAAAAAAGAATGCATTATATAGCTGTATTATGTTCTAATGGTATTCTTAACTTGTTGTGCTTATAATTTAGTATATATGATTGTAAAAAATCAATAATATAATATCTTAATAAATTAAATAAATGTGATATGATCCACTGCAGTACGAGATCGAAAAGTATAATATAATAGTTTGTTTTAATAATTAAATCTTTTAAAGTTCCAAAAAAAATAAAATGAAAATAAATACGCAATTCCGATTATGAAAATCGTAAATTTAAAGGAGATTGATTATATCCATGTAATTTTTTAAAAAAAAAGGCAATAAAAGAGAACTAGAATACCGAGAAGGTTTAAGGCATGTGGTCTTTATGGTATCTGTAATTTTTCCGAAGTAATATATAGCCTACCTGATTTTAGCAAAGGAAAAAAGATGTAGACATTTCACTAATACAATGTTCATTTCATCGACAGCTATTGCTGATTGGATCACCATAAACAAGATTTTGATGTTACCTTCAATCATTCGGCGTTCCATAAAACTAAACTTTTAGTTATTAGTTTTTTTTTGGTATACGACATCGAAGAAGATCATCACTTTTTTGCTTCAAAGGTATATTCCTCACATATTGATGTTAACAATTATTAAGGGACAGCCCATTGCTTTAAAATTTGAACATTCCTGACCAAAAGGGACGGCGAATAAGTAATGCCATCAAAGGAAGGGAGTATGATGGGAAAGGTAAAAAAGGAAATGGAAATCGAAACAGAAGGGAAAGAAGGAAACGAGAACGGAGAATGACATTAGATGATTTAAATATCATCTTGCATATTTCATTATAAAAATGTTAAATTTTAATTTCGTTGCAGATCTTTAGTTACGGGAAAAACCTTTGATTTCGACGGCACCGTCGAAACTTTAATGGTCGAAACTATAATAATTTTATAAAATCGTCGAATGTCGAAACTTTATATAAAGAAAACTCGTCGAAAGTCGAAATCGAAAAATAGAATTTCGACTTTAGTTGACGAAGACGAAGGTTAAGAAATGATAGCTTGATTCTTGGGCATCAGCTGAAGACAGAATTTTGGAAGAAGTTGATAATTAGAAGACGAAGTATTGCACAAATCATGAAGAGAAACGTACAAGATAGTTGTCATTAATAATTAATGACGTCTTCTAATTTTTTATTATTTTCATTAGTACGAGAAGACGCCTTAATCATTACAATAAATTTATTCGCGGAGAGATATTCTGCTTGACATGTTGAATCGGTCCATTAAAAAGAAAATAAGTAGATTGTCCCGATGTTATATACTTGAATTATGACTTCTTTTCTATCAAGAAATGTATTCTCATTTTTATTATTAGTAATGTTGTTGCTATTTATTGCTTTAGACGAGGATCATGAAATAGTATACTGTACTGTTACTATAATTAAAACTCCTTTTATGGAAATTAGAAGCAAAGTAAGTAAGAATAGAGTATATTTTTGAATTTCAGTTCCTAAATATATTTACAGTTCATAAAGACTTTAGCCTTGTCAGTTTCATTGCAGGATCACATCAGAAGTTTTGCCAAAGTAATAATTACTAACGGAAAAATTGGTATTGCTGTCAATGGTTGGACTACAGTATTTTAACAAGTTCCTTAAATGGATATTCTTTTGTGCTAGATTGTGAGAATATTCAAAGAAAGTAATGATATAGCTAGAAACGAATTTGATCGAGTCATACTAGCAACTTGAGTAAAGGATTCTAAATATATACTCCACATACATTTTTTTCTACTAGTATTTGATGAAGGTTATGACGCATAATATAAACTATAGATAGAATCGTCGTCACAGAAAAGTTGAACGTAAGATCTTCCTTCCGCGATATATTAATGGCAGTTGAGGTTGGTAATTTTTTTTTATGAATATAAACTGAATTAATAATATGTGTTTAATTGGTTTTTTTAATATAGAATTTAAGTAACAAACCACATATATATACATGGTCCAAAATAAATCGTTGTGCTTAATGCCTTTGATGTTCTTGCAGACGATTTGTATTTACAAGAATTTTTCTATTTTATCCCGTACTTTGACCGGAAACCATAGATTAAGACATGAAGATTCATTTCATATATGTTTTAGAGATTAAAAGTAAATGAATCGAAAATTTATAAAAATATTCGTTGATTTTACGAGGTTAGTAAAATTTTTTTAAAAAAAAAACCATTGTTATACAAATGGGTTGAATTAAAACATTTAATTTATTTATTGAACATATATAATACGAAACTTTTTTTTAATGGAATTACACTACATTGTTAAAAAAATACATTATCTGACTCCTTATTTAAGTAAGACCAAATGCATTAACAAGTTCTTTCAGGTCTTCGAGTCTATTTATAAACTCATATAATAGAAGAACTATTCTACATAATTTGCCTTGTTCCTAAATTTTTAGGTGTTAATCTGTGAAAATGCCAAAAATCTTTTGACATTTTTCTGTTAAATATTAACTGAAAAATTTTACAGGTAAATTTAAACGACATTAAATTACTTTTTCAAATTCAATAATTTCTTTTAGACCAGTCCGACTGATTGACCGAATTTAATTGGTAAAGTTCTCAGTGTATTTAAATTAACAAATTTAACAATCATTTAATTAATAAATATGTTTTTTAATTTATTATACTGTATGTATGTATATTGAAAAAATTTTTAATGTCGTCTATAGATTTCCCCTGCATAACCCTTCAAGAAATTTCACGTGATATTCTTCTGTCTCCGGCATCACGTTTCATTCAGTAGCGAAAAATTATTCTTCACGTCCTATCCGTCACATGTGTGCCACAATTAATTCCGACCGAATGACGTAATGCCGACCATTTCGTGACATTTTTTGATGGGGGATTCTCCGCGCCACTAAATATATTTATTACGAAAACCACCACAATAATTACGACAATGTAGAGGAAACACCACCTATTAAAATTTGCCCTATCGTTTTCCACTCCACATGTTCATCTCGTAATTCGCGCATTGGTCATTGGTCAATGATCAACGTCGGGGTATGGACGACCCACAGTGGTGGTTCGGTTTCAATTTCCATAAAATGACGAATTCTTTAATTCCAGTCAGAATTAAAAAAATTTTGGCCAAAATCGAAATCGGATAAATCGAATTTTAAGTGATAATAAGCTTCCAGAAA